AGGGGGACAAGCATGGGGGACAAAGAAAAGTTGAGTGGGGACACGCCTGGGAAGCAGGAAATATTCAAGCACGGTCAAAAATTAGGTGCTCACAGCAGCCGCTATAATCTGTGCCACAACCTCTATCCTTCGGGAGAGTACTCTGTGGTGAGCACTTTGTGCGCACTGGGTAAACCTCTCCCTGTGTAATAGTCTGCAAACCACACAAGGGATGTAAACCGCACTAGGCAAACCTTATGCGACAGGTTCAACCTAGAAAATATTGAGGGGTGGTTCGATCGTAGGTCATCTATATGGATGAATTTGATTGCCATGTTAATAATTCAGAAAGAGGGGGAAACTTCTTTTACCTTGTCATGGTATATATAAATTAAGAATATAATAAAGATATTTTGTCTGTTACCAGAAATAGACTACACATACCTTGTAGAGTCGTCCCCACAACGTAGCAGTAACGTGGCTTCCACAGTCATTTTGACTTCTAAATGGGGCTATTTCTGTCTTTTTTCAACTCACCTGTTTAAAATTCAAGTTTTTTTAATGGGATATTTTATCAGACAGTTTGTGTTCAGAAGAAGCTGCTATACGTACCATCTGAACTTCCAAAGTCGGCGAATGTAGAATCTCGCCGGAAAAATCCCAATTCAAATTTGCACATTCAATTTTGAATAAGCTATGCAAGATATACATTCAATTATTGGAGGTGGCGGAGGGCGGTTTTACGGCGGTGGTGGAGGTGACAGAAGACTAAGGCTTAACCAACCCCAAGCCGTAAAGTGCCCTCGTTGTGATTCTCTCAACACAAAATTCTGCTACTATAACAATTATAATCTCTCTCAGCCGCGTCACTTCTGTAAGAGTTGCCGGAGGTACTGGACTAAAGGCGGTATCCTCCGTAACATCCCCGTTGGCGGTGGTTGCCGGAAAAGCAAACGGTCCAAGTCCAACCCGTCGGCTGTTTCTACTGCTGATGAAACTTCTCAGGAAAATATGTCCAAATCCAACTCCAATTCCGGCAGTGAAAGTTCTAGTCTTACTGCTATTACGTCGTCCGCAGCTGCTGCAGCGAACACATCTGTTGCTATGACTCCAGAAGTTGGTTCAGGCAATTCATTTAATTCGAATTTGCCCGATTTTCCGGAGTCAAGCTTTTTAGTAACTGAAACTACGAAGGGAGATTGTATTGATCAGCAATTGGTAGTTGGACATACAACAGAAGAGCAAATATTTCAGAATATTGGGACATACTCATTTAATGTGAACAACATTTCAATGTACCAAAACTCAAATGATCAGCAGTGGAATCAGCAGCCCAAGATTGTAGGTACTGGACCGGCGGATGGTATGAAGATGCATGAGATGAGTGCTGCGTGTTTCTTTGATCGGACGGTTCACGTTGAGTTATCAGGGAGAAGGGCAAACGACGGTGGACTGGCTCCGATGGATTGGCAGACCGGAGGCGGCGACGGTGGGCTGTTTGGTATGATGGATAACAGTGATCATCAGTCTTACTGGTGTCAAAGACAATGGGGTGAAAATGATCACTCCTTTAATTACCTCCCTTGATCTCTGCTCTTGTTTAACTCTTGAAATTATTGCCGAGGTACAATACTTAAAAGAAGTAAAAGGTGAAAAAGTGCAACAAAAAAAAAAGGAAAACTGTTTTATTATGTATATTAGTGTCACTTAAGTTTAATATGCACCTGACCTCCATGCTTGTTTTTTTTTTTTTTTAACTTTCCCGCTTATGTATATTAGGTTTTCGTGACTTGGTGTAAAGATTTATGTGCATTATGAAGTGATGAAGTTAACTTCAGTATCTAATTATCTATTGAGGTAGCAATGAGCTAGGTGTTATAATATTATACAGTGTTCTATAACAGAGTATACATGCATTCATTGTTGTCTTTCTTAACTTATGCGATTATGCTCTTAATTAAATCGTTTGACACCTCGAATTTGTTGAGGTTTTTGTTTTTAAGATGAAATAGTCTTAAAATGAGGGTGAATGGGAAATG